ATGTATTGGAGCTGTCAGCTGATCTTCAGACGTTTCCTAGAGATTAAAAAAACAGTGTTTCCTTAAGTTTCTGTTGGTCAGTCAAAGTGATCATGGTTATCGAGTTAAAATATTTATCAACTAATATGATGTTTTTTAACTAACATTTATGTAATGTTCACACATCAGCAGTTAGAAACAGTGTTTTTAGTCAGCTGATTTTATGTTTTTGCTTTTGATGCCAGCCTACAGTTCAGCTTTTCTGTTTACTGACAGATGATACTAAATTGACTGCCCTGTTAAATTCACTAGTCAGTTTATTTCCTTTCCATTTATTGTAAAAAAAAAAAAAAACCTGCAACTTTCGGTTTTTCCTTTGGTTCCTCTTGAGAAAGCGTTTTGTTTCCGTTACTCCAGATATGTAACGCCACATTAAAGTTGGTGTTTTTATTTTCTCCTTCTTGGACGTTTACCCGTATAATGCGCGTATGGGGGGTGATCGGGGCGAATTGTTTGAAGTTATTTAAGGTTTTTTAACGTCCTGCAGGCTCTGAAATGCAAAACAAAAACAAAACTGAGGTTTTGACAAAAGTCAGTAGCGCGATTTGAATGCATTTATTTATTTATTTTTAGTTCATTACACACCTGCCACGGTGACGGGTGCGTTGTTCAGATCTACACAGCACTTCATAATTTTACCCGCATTTGGCCAGTGGCGGGTGCTAATTTCCACCCTTGTTTATAGTATTACAACTAAAACCGTTTTTGACGCCACCACTGCAGTTTGTCCTTCACGAGCCTTCGGAGACAAGATGGCAGTGCAAGATGGCAGCTGCCTGTAGTGGCGACCCGTGACCATGGAGAAATAAACAGCTTTTTATAAGGTAAAAATAACAAAACAAGGTCTTTGTCTGCAACGATTAGACATGTTTTTTTTTTATTATTGTCATTAGTGATTATCTCAATTTTGGCTAAAAGAATTGACAAAATCCTACACACTGTTCCTTTAAATAAATTCTCTGTATTTTTCCCATCACACATGGTTCCAGCAGCTTGTAGAACCTCCTTTAGCAGTAATAACTTACAGTAGTAGTTTTCTGTCTGACTTTATCAGACTCTCACATGCATGAAGAGACTTTGGTCACTTCTTTTTTTTACAGTATTATTAGTATTATTGCTTCAGTTCATTCAGGTTTGCAGACATCAGTTTCTGCACAGCCCTGTTAATGTACCACCACAACATAACAGTAGGAACTGGAGCACAGAGAAACACAAGGAGACACAAACGGTATGGATAAAGCAAAACATAATGCTCCACTRAGGGAGTCAGAGAGGTGCTGGAATATGAGGACAACACTAATGAAAAACACCTGTGGGCGGGGCAGCAGCAATACTGAGAAACAGAAAATCAAACAGTGGAAATGCCGGTGGTAAAATAACCACAAGAATAACAAAAACCTTCAATAATAAGCCACACAAAAAACAAACAATTCATACCAACATAAAACAGATCTGACATTATCAACGACTCTCAGTTACTATTACATGAAAATTTAGCTCAATGCCTGTAAAAATAAGAAAGCTTTAGTCAATCTTGTACCGATAAGGTCAATTAGCTGCCAGCAATTGTATATGTACATCCAATGATTACTTTCAGAGATTCAGTAAAATCTCTCAATTGGTTTCTGATAAATTCATGCTAACAGACATTTTCCCACATACTATACACATATACACACACACACACACACACACAC